AGCAAATGGCGGCATACGTGGTTGGGGTCACTCAATATTTGATACGCTAATATGAGATCGCCGCGCAGCCTTCGATAGCGTCCGCTGAAAATTCCCAACAACTTCAGCCTTCGGTGGTAAGAGTGATACCGCAGGCCCATCACGTTCTTGGTTGCTCTCCGTTGTGGTGCCTCTATCGCTTCTAGGTCGCGTTTCAACCAAGGTTGCCAAGCTTGGATTGCGTACTCAACTTGCGGGCGCACGTAGGAATTGAGCATCATTGGGAAGATTGATGGGTCAAATCTCCCGAATGCCCTCGCAGCATGCCGACGTGCTGGTTGCCTCTTTTCGCAGCTACCTCAGCCTGTTTTGAACAGTTGAGGTCGCTCTGTACGATCACACCAAGATCACGTTCTTGGGAGCTATTCTGCAATTCCTTTGTCCCAAGTATGTAGGTGTAGTTATGTCTATGGCGTAATTGTACTACGCGACATTTGTCTACGTTGAACGGTAGAGCGTTTTGAACTGACCAGTTCGACACTGTGTTAAGATCGTGCTGGAGCCGTTCATGGTCATCCGGTCCTCTGATCCTTCGCCATATCTTGATATCATCAGCGAAAAATAAGAAATCGGAAGTAATTGATCTCGCCAAATCGTTAATGAACACCAAGAATAGACGAGGTCCAAGAACCGAGCCTTGTGGTACTCCACACGTCACGTCGATTGCATGAGAAAATGATTCTCGGACTCTCACCACTAGCCGTCGTTCTTGTAGAAAATTGCTAATCCAACTCAGGATTGGATCGCCAATGCCGTAGTTCCGAAGCTTCTGAAGGAGAACTCGATGGTCTAAACGATCAAACGCTTTTGAAAAGTCCAGGTAGATGACATCGACTCCAACTCCATCATCAACAGCTTCAGTCCAGCTATTTCGTGCAATTAATAGGTTAGTGTTACACGAATGCTTTTGACGAAAGCCATGTTGCTCTGGGGCTATTAAATTGTGGCTTTCCAGGTATTGCATCAGCGCGTCTGCGACGATTGATTCCATCACTTTGGATAGTACGGGAAGTAATGTTATTGGACGGTAGTTCGCAGGATCAGTGCGGCTGCCTCCTTTATGGATGGGAGTGATGACCCCTTGCTTCCATACTGGTGGAATAAGGTTTTCCTCTAGACATCGCTGATAGAAAACAGCCAGTGGTTCTGCTAGATCACTAGCTACTGCCTGTAGAGCCTTTGGACGGATGTTATCAGCTCCGGGAGAACTGTGGATACGCAAGGATAACAATTTCTTCAACACAGCCTCCGTAGTGAAGGTGATGTTTTCTAAACCAAACGGCGGAGTATTAGAAATGAGGTGAATGTTTGGGCTCGACACTTGTTGGAACGTTTGAGAGTAATGAAGCCGTAGGAGATCAGCTGCTTCCATTGCTGACCGCGTGCATCCATCAGCTGTGACTAGCGCCGGAACCCCTCGCTTTACCTTTCGAAGGCCGTTAATGTGCCTATACAGGAGTTTGTGGTTAGTGCAGAATCGCTTCATTAACTTCTGCTGATGCGTGACCTTGTCCTCGCGGATCAGTTTCACACAGAAGTTACGATGTGTCACGTATGCAGTCCAGGTTTTGGCATTCGGGCAACCCTGGTGATTTCGCCATGCCAAATCCCTCCGGGACATACATTTACGTGTTCTGCTCCTCAGAATTGACTTACTCTGGTTTTTGGGTTGGAAGGACTTCTGTTCCGATGCTTGCGCTACCAGTGTGCTCAAATTCCTTGTAAACATATCCCAGGCCAAATCTGGGGAACATTCGAATAAGAAAGTCCAAGATGTATCCTTAACAAGCTTGGACAACACATTGTAGTGCGTGACAGTGTGCACTTTATCCTCCTCCTTTTCAGGGTACTCCGCATAGCAAATATAGTCAAAGAGTAGAGTAACATGATCACTACGACCCAGTGGTGTGCTTGTAACTATCCCGCCAACCATGAGTTCTTCGTTAGTGAGCACAAGATCCAGTATCGACGGCTTGTTAGAAGTTCGAAATCTGGTGGGAGAGGTTACGTGGTTGTAAAGAGGGTGGCTAGCAATTAGCTCTTGCAAGCAGGCTTTAAACTGCGTACCGTCGGTTGCCGGCGTTTCTATGTCATGCACGTTAAAGTCTCCAGCGATGAGAATGTGGGTGTAGGACTTGTTCAAAGTCAACTGGAAAACGTGGTTCATTTTGGAGTCCATTTCCGAAGTTGAGTTTGGTGGGCGCTAAATCACGGCTAGTAGACATGTGTCCTTGTTTCGCAACCAAAGGCGGCACCAAAGGGAATCTGGAGCTTGGATTTCCGGGTGATCGATAACTTCACATCGGAGGTTTGTATTGTAATAAAGAATCACACCGCCACCCATTCCGGTTCTATCTGTCCGAAGCAGCGACATACCGGGTAACTTGATCTCACAGTCGGTTATCTCAGGGTTTAACCATGTCTCTGTAATCATGACGAGGTCTCGTGGTTGTGAGGCATGGAGTTCTCTAAGTTCTGCCAACTTGCTTCGAAGGCCTTGAGCGTTTGTGTACATGCAAGATAGGGCTTTTGTGGTTAGGAGTTCATTGGTGGATGTCAAGTTTGTGTTCGCTTTTAAGCCGGCCGTTAGGTGGCCGGCAATTAATCGTTTTTTGGTTTGTGTATTTCAGTCGTGTTACATGACATTATTGAGCGTTCCTGAACTGATGGTTCACTCGTGCTTTGCTCGGTCCTCCTGTGTGACGTGGACGCTGTTGTGTCGATCTCTCCGAAGGACTGTGCAAATAAAGAATTTGCAGGATTTGCAAGTTCCATCGAATTTCTTCCGACTTTTGGTCGTTCGCCTGCTGCCTTTAGCCGTATTTCTGTTGGCAACCTAGCTCGAAACTTTAACCAGCTATCCAACAGAACTTGCGTCATTCCCTCAGAGTGTAGTATTACCTTCATTAGCCTAGGACCGCAAGCATGGACCGGAGATACATAGTGGGTGTCCAAGCCAACACAACTCATTCAGTGCTATCTGTTGTTCTAAGGAACTTGCGTGTGTATCACTGCCTAGCACGAGCCTACGCACATCATCGTTGTGGACGCGCTGGTGTCACCCGACACCAGCAATGCTCCGCAGACAGCGATGATCAAAGACTTAAAGGCACCACAGATCTATGGATCAAAGGGGCCAAGTCTCACTTCCATAGAGTAGGACAACCCTCACTGTGGCCTTGTAAACACGACCTTTTAGACGGGGGGAAACTCCTTACTGTCGTCTCAAATACCGCAGATTCAAAAAGGTAGTTCTGGCTTTTGCAATACGTGAAATAACCTCAATAGCTATACACCCATTGTTGGTGATACAGCTGCCGACGTAAGTGCACTGATCAACTCTACCTCGAGTTCCCGGCTATCTAGGTTCAAGGGATCACCAAGTGGCTGGTGGTCTTGAAGCAACACTTTGCATTTTGCAGGGGTGAAAGGCATACGAATAAACAGAACCACTTTATACAGGTTATTCAGCATCGACTGCGCCGGCCCAACACCGTTAAAAAGCAAGACGATATCGTCCGCATAATCAAGGTCAGCTGGCTTTTCACCAGACAGCAGCACAACGCCTGCGTCGTGAATATCCGCAAGGGAACACTCCCTAATGCAGTCCACGACGAAATTGAAGAAAAAATTGAGAAATTGAACAACGCTGACGTACGCCACTTGTTGTCGGACAGCTATCCGGCAAGTCACCGTAGACCTTGACGCGGCCTGTAGTGGTACAGTACAGATCACCTAGAATGTTTACAGATTTCAAGGGAAGACCTTTCCGTGCAAGTATTTTGTACAGAATACATCAAACTACTGGATCGAACACACTCCTGAAATCGAGGAACACGGTCATCGTTGGTCTGCGCTATGCTTGGCGCTGCTTTAGGATCTGCCGCAATGTGAATATGTGGTCCATACCGCCATGTTCTGAGTGGAAACCTGTCTGCTCTTCCCTAATCCGGGATTGCCGTTCCGCAGTGAGGCGATGAACGAGAATTAAGGCCAGTAATCTTATCACTACCGGGGTTAGGCTAATAACCCTGTGGTCAGCACATCTGGTGCGACTGCCCTTCTTGTATGTTGCCACTATGATCGATTCACTCCAGACAGCCGGACGGTTTCCTGCTTCCATGCATGCTCGGACAGTGAGGTTAGTGTTTTGCAGAGGACCTCACCTCCATCTTTAAATAGTGCAGGTAGCAGGGAATCAGGCCCAGCGGCACGAAGACAATAGCAAGATTCATTCGTTGCTTATTAGTTTTGGTAGCTCTTGAATGCTAGACTGATGCGCTCAAAAGTGACTAGCCGTAATTTGTGAGAGTTTACGATTCTCGAATCCTCTGAAGGCCTCAAGGTGGTATGGTAGTCCTAAATAACCGTTCGGCACATCACTACTTGCATGCCACATGCAAATCTTCGTCGAAATGTGCTATCAGTTCGTAGTGGATGCCCACGCGTCTTCGTAAAAGTTCGACTCCGAGTAATCTCACAATGCCACAATACAGGGCTCTAAAAAACCGCACTGTATTCCAAACCTTCCGAAATCAAACGTAGGCTTTTTACGTCACAAGCAGAAACAATCTGCCAGTAGGCAAAAGAATTCTCTGGAACAGTAAGTCAAGAACCTCTTCCTGAGACTCCGTGTTGTTTATGAATTTGACCCTGTTACCGGTATCGCTGTACGCGTCAGAAGTTTGCTACTGATCAAGTAAACCACAATGAGCACTACTGTCCGATAACGGCTTAACGGCACCAAAAATTTGCGGTAGACCGGTAAAGTCTCGTTTGTACGTATCAATCTGAATGGGTAGTCCGTCGGTAGTTTTTGGTTGATTACTTGGTTACTTCTTTGAGACAAACACATTCAATAAAGTGGATCATGTTACCTTAACATCTGCTGTGAGCATACTTATGTATCATTGCAGGGACTGTAACATAAGTGGATGGAAAACATTCGCAATTCAACTCACTCAGTTTGCTCAGTGGGGCATTGGCATTTGATACAAGGCTGTCCCTTCTTGGGGTCCCCCATGTAGCCTACCGCACACTCTCCGCAATCCGGTCCGACAGTGTTACCGGTACAGTCCTCACATACTCCAGTCAAGGCATCACAATTGGACGACATACCATGGCAACGACACTTCTCCACTCCACCTGTCCAAATAATGTTTTCAGCAATCAGCGGGGGTGCTTCGGTGTCTGGTGGGAGAATACTTGGGCCAGGCTTAGGCATCAACGGTGGAAAGTAGAAGCCGGAGGAGGCAATCTGAATTGGATGACATGTGAAGTGCATATTAAGATCTTCTTCCATAGATACGAGAAGTATTTGACAGAAGTATTTGACAGCTTCTCCTACTTAAATATCCGCAGCTGGATACAGCTATCCGACCCCCTTGCAGTCTGAAAAGCGCTAAACAGTCATTCTGTCTTATTATGGATGGCAGGCAGTTTGCACATCCAAACAAGCCAAAAACCAGACAAAATGGTGAGCTATGACATGAACCTCGAGGATCTACGCCGCCACACTATGTGCTTGAATGGCGGATCATCATGACTGATTAGCAAATGTAATGTAATTCATATCGCCCTTCGGTAGTGCAAAGGACAAGGTTTATTTGCAGATGAACAATATTCCTCGCTAAGTCGATAGCTATCCGACGGCACTGTCGCAAAGACTATCCCTCGAAATGTTAGGAGCATAGCTATTTGACATTTATCCTTTTGTGAACGTGCTCAAAATCCAATCTTTATTCTACCTATTTTCTACTTCTTGACTGTTGTTTAAATGTTTTACTGTGTTAGCCCGATTGGCACACACGGCATTGTTAATAGACGCTCATCTCCGTGTCTTCTTCTGCAGTGCCATTTGCAAGAACACCTTGCATTGGTATTGTTCCGCATCACTTTTCTACTTGGTTATGTTAAAGGAATATTTTGTTGTCAAAAAATTATTGTACCACTTTAATTTTTGGGTCTACATTTCTTATTCTCGTTTGTTTCGTGACATATGTTTAGGCGCTACATTTCGTCATTCTGATTGGCCAGTGCCCGTCACTGCAAATGGATGTTCGCTTTACGCTTGGGGTTCCATGGTGCTATTTTTAAAGACACATGCAATTCGCTCTTGAGTACACGGTTGCTTATTCGCCCGGTGTATTTGACGTTTTCATGCTGTTGGCTGGCTCAAGTGTACTTTAATAGCTTTCCTTTATGTTGCCTTCAAAACTATATAAGCAAATGTGATTTCATGCGGTCGTGGGTTGAAGGCGTCAGTGGCGACGCAACATAAACGCAAACGCTTTATTCATAAGAAACCAGCACATTTGACCCACAAACCACCACGAAACACATTACTTGGCTGTTTTCCTTGGTAACGATTTTTGAAGCTTCTTTTGACTGTTATAAAAAATGGTTATGTAGCCAAACGTAAAAGAGTCAGAGGGCCAAATAAATGGCAGAATGCCAGAGGCACTCAGAAATCGTATGACTAGAAGCATCAACAGCGCGGTCACGGAGCATTTGCTCCTAAGCTGATATAAAATCCGGATAGCCGAAGTGTTCAAAGTTGTCTATCCCGTGCCGATAGGTTATCCTAAAGCGCTCAGTAAACGTGCATTGAAGAAGTATGAGATAATCATTATCGAACTAATCCGGCTGGAAGTATGCAAGCAGACGGCTCTCGTACAAGCTCTCATCTTGTCTTGGCCCCGCGGAAATCCTCCGATGTCCGACACTCCCAGCGTAACGTCGGCAGCGAATCTTGCCCAAGCGAATCGACCTATCTACTGATCCAATTTACTGGTCTCGTTCCATCAGCAACAGCCCTCAACGCAGCTTTTATTGGCATACGGTGTTGCCGGTTGCTTTCTCATGATTGCACTGGAATGAGGAGAATTATTGCAAAAGTGATATCCTCACTAACTGGACTTCTTATTTAAGATAGGTATAATTCATCAGAATCCCTTGGGCCTGTGTTCGGCTGGCTACTTTATTAGTCCAATTTTCAGCACTGATAGCGTTGACCAGCTAGGGATGTCACTGGCGTTATAGCACGGTTAGGCGCAGTTTCATGCGGGTTCGACCTAGTTGGCCTCAAGTAAGTTGCAACCTTGCAAGAGCCCAAGGTGCAAAGGGTATTGTGGTAAACACCATCAGACAAATGCACCACCTCTAACCACCAACCGTTCCATGCAACTTCGAACTTCTTCCTGGAGATTTCGTGATACGGGACGCTTCTTTGTCTATGCTTAGTGCCCATATATCTGCGACTCCCAAACGGTTCACTTCTATTGAAGCGTTAATATGGTCCGCTTTTGACCCGTTACCGTCAGCTTTTTCAGGAACTTCTATACTACTGCTACTTAGTGCAGTAGTCTTTCTGTTGGCGTACTACAACCTGTTAAGTCCCCTCAGCGGTACGCACTTTGATCGATTCCTATGAGATTCAAACTCATAACCATTCAGCTCGCGATTCAAAACTCAAACAGATGTTTGGTTTACGGACCATAAAAAGCGCTTACTTCGTTGAGGCATTCGCCTACAAGTCCCGTCTTGTGACCGAGCGCCTAGCTCATGTCCAGTTCGAAACCCATTCATCGGACCGTTCTGAGATGCGCCAATACGTATGACACAGAAACAGTAATCGCACTGACATGTTTCATATGGTTAATTGTGCTGTTTGCCACCTACAGGAATTAACAGTAGAGCCAAGTGATGTTTTGTCAAGGATAGCAGTTTCGTTAAAAATAAGGTTACAAGGTAAGGTAAGCCTGCATGTAGTGGCGATTGGATACAATCATGCTGTTTGCTACGTTGTGCTTCGGTCGATTTATGATCTGGAAAAGGATAAGATGCTAAGATGTATGAATTCTAACTGCTCTCAAGTTCGTACACGTGTTAAAACGGTTCTGAGTGATCGGTTAGCTCTTCCCCAGTGATATTTGATATCTCACCTTAGACAGTCCATCAGATAGGTTGCAGGTTTTGAGACAAGGCAACATTTAGGTAAATGTTTGAACTCATAAGGTGTCTCCACCCAACGGTCAAGTCATAGATGACGAGGAGTATCGAGCATCGAACTGTTAGCATGCCCCACTCCTTCAAATTCATCACGAAACAAGTCGAATGTTTACATACATGCAGTGATACCTCCGTGTCCGGTCGTAGCTGTAACATATGAGCTGTAGCGATCGGAGTGTTGACCTGCTCGTTAAAGCTGAGCTCCAATGTTACAATATAGATCAGACCACATACAAAAAGCGCGATTAAAATGACCCAAGTCCGGTTGAAGGTATCTTCACTCACTTCACAGTGGTCACCAGAGGATGTGTTTGGACAGTCACACTTCTCAATCGACTTGATTTGGGTCCCGGACAAGGTGACCGTCTCACTGAGGGCCTCGTACACTCGGTATTTGACACTGTCAAATGGTGAGCAAAAAACAAGTTTTGTATCTGACATGCGGCGAAATGAAATATGTGTACTAACAGTTTGGTTCAATTGCGACTCTCATCCAACTGTAGACCGTGTGCACCCCTGGATTATGTGGCAAATTCTAAAAGAACTGTGGTTTCCGATCGCCTAACCTTTATCGCATTACGTCCGATTTGTGTTGAGTGCGTCGTGTGTGTAAGGAAGTATTGACGTCCTTTTCCGAACGCACTTGTCAACGCGAATGCCAGTGGCTATACGGTGCTTGCGTCCGCATGGTGACCATGGATGGCTCACACTGCACTACTCACAGCGTTATCCACCTAGTCCATATCCACGAATGTTTCGCTCCTAGGACCTTCAGAACACTTCGTACTTAGGTAAGTAAGAGGAAACTGCGCAATATTATTAAACAAGCGCAATTGGGACACGTCACAACCTCTTGTCCAGGAGCAATTAGCAGGGCCATGGTGCCATTAGGTGGCAGCATCCGACAAGTATGCTGTGTTGTGTCACTGTAAAAGCACTACTCCTATCTTCAACTTGGCCCTCTGCGGCCTGTATATTGTTTACCTAAAACACGGAAAGCGAACACTCGGTACGGAACTCGCGTGGGAAATTGCGACCAGAAAAGTCGTTGGGGGAGGGTGGAACCCTCAGTTATGACAGGTCGCTAGGCAAATGCATTTCATAGGTCGAAGATCAATGAAGCTCGTGACCAAAGGTCCAAACAAGCAGACGTCCCACAGTCAAAACCAGCTGATGCCCAAGTGTTAAGTCGAAACAGACAGGAAACACATCGATCAACCCACTAGTGTTGATCTGAGGTCAACATCATTGATCAATCGGGCTATAGTTAGAACGATTTGTGTTAATGTAACTGACTCACGTCTTCTTGTCCAATAGACTCCAGCCCCTGCGTAATTGCTCTATTTGCTCTTCACTTTCTGATGGTTGACTTACTTCAGCAGTTCCACACAACACAAGATTTCACTGCTGTTACCGGCGTCACTTGACGTCCGTATTGACGCATCATTTTGGTGGCCCTGTTGGCCGTGAACAGTCGTTGCGTCTGTTGACATGTCACAATTTTCCCCTGACATCAGCCCTATAAACTAGCTCTCGCTGATTGTGTCTACTTGGTGCTTTGTGTGACTGCTCTCTTACTGCTTGACTCAGTCCGGTGTTTGCAGTGCCTCAGCTGACTGCCGCACCTCTGCTATATCATAGCACCACGTTCTGATAAAAAATCACTTTGTTCCTGCTCGTCTGCGTGGGTTCGGAGTGACACAAGGGGCGACACAACAGAAGTACTCTCCCACAACCCGATGCATGCGCATTAATTGTGCCACCGATCAATCGTTAGGCGTTCTTCCAATCACGGATCAGTTGTTAGCTACGACACTCGTGCGTGTTTGAGAGGATAGGGGGGCTGAGCCGTGGCGAATACGCAACACACACACACGTGGCAGTGTTCTCATAGGACGTGCCCGACCCGGCACACCAAGTGCGAATGGAGGACCCCAAACGCACAGCGCATATTCCATGTATGCACGCAGCCCAGTTGCAAGAACGATGCATCACACGTGTGCGATTACTAAGTGATGCTGAGTGAAGTGTCTTTCGCCTGTTCGGACACCGCCATTCAAGATGTCCATTGCCACTTGGACATACGCTTCTAATAGCCAAGCTGCCTAGTGAGGTGCAAACTGCAGCATATGCTGCAGTACCATATTGGGCTTGAGTCGTGGATGGTGCGAGGTACACTGCCTACATATCCTCTTTGGCCACGAGCATCTTATAACAGGTTAAAATGATGGAAATCATAAAGTGTGTAAATGGATCCGGCGCAGTAAAATGCCGGTAACAAGACTACATCAATGGACTAGATCATTATAAGACTTTAAAATGGGGACGGAAACACCCGCAATGAACAATCCGTGAGTGCTCCCCTGAGTTCCCAGTCCTTATGCATGTACTGCTGTAGACCGTAAATCTTCGGGCAGTCGAATTACGCAGTAATGGCACATGGTCTATCGATGTGGCCCGTATATCCTGATAGCGTGTGACCGTGGTTGCTCGCTAACAGAACTGCCACGGTTGGATCAACAATCGTGCCCTGGAGCGCTGCTTCGTGAAGGAACGGTCCAATGGCCTGAAGGAAAATGTGCTTGTCTGCAAGTTATGAAGTTCAAAGCTCGAGCACTAGTTCCGGCTGCCCCTGCCTGCGTAATCCAAACAAGGATGAGACCATTCGCGAAGTAACTTTACGAAGGAACTTAAGCACAGACAATTGGTGAAATCCATAAATACGCACCAGAACCACTGGTTCTTTGATTTAGTGGTAGAAAAACGCCCTGCTCTTGAGCAGTGCAGTGTTGGTTTGGATGGAGCATACTTAAGCCCACTTAGAAAGCACAAAGATTGGCATTTGTTATCGCTGCGGCAAAATGCCTGACGGTTTCCTCTTTCGAATAGAATGTAATGGAATTACCTGACTAGTTTGGGGTTCGCCTCAGGCATGAAAAGCCGCACACTAAAGGAGGTCACGTTGAGTAACGCGAGCATCAGTTCGTTCCGCGTGGGCCGAACTCTCGTGTCCACACCGGCGACACGGATCAGCACCCAATCTGATTCCCGCAGCCAGATTTGGCGGTAACCATCCGTAAGTAAGCCTTGAGCATCTTCCTGTAAGGGAAATTGAATAGAATAGTCATTAGTTAACGTTCAGACGATTAAAGGCCATACTGACATCGGAACAACCAACTCGTTCCAAAACCGTCCAAAGCACTCAGTCTATCAGCTTAAGAGTAGATGCTACTGATGCGAGGAAAACAATGTTCCATGTCTTATGTAGAACCTCTTCACAAAGTTCCAAATAGCAAGAAAGAGCCTGCGTCAAATGGAAAAATCTGATCTGTTATTTCACGCATTGCCTTCGGCTTTTAACGTATGGTGTATAGAGTGGCTAAGTTGCATTCAGCGACAACCGACGTGCAGTCATCGGTGGGGCCAAGGCCCAAGATCATCTAGCTCACCTGAAGAAAATAAGCGAAATAATTATTGTTATTTGCTTCTTGAACGGCGTCTGAGACTCCGAGGAGTGTACGCAGAGCTCAGCTTGTGGATGTAGCCTATCGAATCGAAGCCAGCCGTGTGGTTGCTGTGGTCAGGGGATTTGGCTAATGCTGCGTGCTCTAAAATTCCAGCGAGATAACCACAGCGTCCCAGGTGCGCATGGTAGTTGGTATGACCCACCTGGGTGCTCACGAGCACGCACCAGACTTGGGCGCTACACATTCATTCAGTGGTAGCTCCAGACTCCAATGTCACTATGATTGGGCGCTTCGGTAAGCACGTGAGCTTGCCGAGTAGTCAAGGTAGCCATTCCACATCTACCAGAGCGATGGAGTCCATGCTTGAGTGCAGCCGAAGGAGTCTGTGAGAGCGACCAACGCCAAGTTCGTTCCTGACGGGAACAGCGGAGAGCCCGCATTGCATGTGCGCTGAACCAGACTGGTGTATCCGATGTGAAGTACGATTGCTTCGCCGCTGGTCCGCATGCGTACATAAGACGGATACATCCAATAAGAAGCGCATATGAAATTCGCCAAGAGCATATACCACACCAATTGTTGAGTACTGGTTGGAAAATCATACATTGCTTCTCTTATGGCCGGGTTGATTCGCACCGCGTTCGTTTCGGCCAACCGAATTCATTCAAACGAGTGTGCTGGAAATCAGTTACAACGCGATGGTAGTTGTCCGAATAAATATATCACAATACTTGGTACTGGAGTGTTGAGGTAAGTAAGAGGAGTTTTGCAACCAGTGTTTCGGTAATCAGTGACTTTCCGTTTAAAGCAGCACAAAACGAAAAATCATGATATCACTAAATATGCGCTATGGAAACAGTAAGTATTTAGTGTCGTGTTGATATGGTAAGTGTTGATATAGTAAGCCAGAAATTTGCCTTGTTCATCTACTTACGTCAATCCAATGTTGGCAACCCATGTCAACAGTGCTGTGTGTTGAAGCTGTAATCTATTGAAACATCGCTACGGAGGATGATGAAGCAGCCAAATGGGTACCGAACCTGAGCAAAGGGAGTTGTGTCTGACCGGCAACGCCGCGTTCGACGTAGTTACGTTGAAAGAACATATTGCTTAGAGAGCGAACCGAGTGCACGATATGCTTTCCTGAGGGGACTGCGCCTTTCCCGCAGCCGTACTTTATTGTGCCGATGAGCGATAATGCATCTAACCTGTTCGAATGACGTAACGCGTGATGGAGTGATCTTAAGTCCATGCACAGGTGTGCACCAGGTGCTCGAGTCCTCAACTGTTTAAGGACCATATGGTGCATAGCTTGAGAATAACTATTGTTTGTGGACCAGCAGAACGTTACGTTACAAATGACACATAATGGAGGTTTTTATGAGCGGAGCTTTGGTCTAAGGTTGTTGTGTTGAACTCACGGCTGTTCCCACTCAGTAACAGTAACGACAACATGTACGAGTAGGACCAGAATTTCAGGGTTGGTTTCACCAAAAAACGACACTGTTATGCCATTTTCATCGTAAACATTGGACGTTTAGAAAATCAAACTGGACATTTGGCAAACCAAACTACACGTTTGTAAACCAGACTGGATATTTTGCAAATCAAACTGGATACTGTTTGTTTTAAACAGAAAATCCGCAGTGTTAGCAAGTTTTGATGAGTAAGCCCACTGAACGATGGTCACACGACATTGTGGTCAGGATAAAGCAACGAGTGGTGCAAGAAGCATACACTATAGTCCAGGCAGTCCTCACGATCATGAGTGTCGTTCCCCTCGATCAAAAGCGGTGACCCAGATGTTTGTGAGCGTGCACGTGTGTGTGAATTTGTGCAGTTACACGACTATGGGAACAGTGTAAGCTGTTATAACTCCACCAAAAGCAACCTAGCTCTATTAGGCGACTGCGTCACGAAATCACATGAAATGAGTGGCAACCGACGACAAGACGCGTCCAAGTGGCAGTGGAGGTGCAAGCGAACGTCATTTACACATAACGAAATCCTTACCAGTCGTATGTTCGTCGACGGCAAAACCCCGCACAAGGCTGTTGAAATCGTCAATATCAACGACAGCACAGCAAGAAACATCATCATTACCTAAAGGCGGGAAGGTGTCATTACTCAGTGCAACTGTGGATGAATCAACAAACTCTAAATATCCTATAGCTCATTGTTGAGATGTTGAGTGACATTCGGAGGACACTTTGATTCAGCTGCAGCAGCGCCTGAGAAAGAACAAGTTCCACAAGTGCTCCGACGAACATCGAGAAATTTGCACCATTGCAGGTAACATCGTTGATGCACTTGAATGAACGGGGCATTGGTTAATCACTTACACAATCAACGTCAACCCGCAGCCTGTGACTGCCGGTAAGGGGACGATCGCTCGCGTCCCTCTTCTTATGCCAGCCTGCGTCCGCCGCAGTTGGAGGCCGAACCCAATATCGTCTCTGAGAATGCACTTCTCCTTATCATGCGATGCGTGCACCTAAAGTTGAGAGCATAGGCCTGTCAAGTCACAAGCATCGTGCTACTGTTCACGCGTTCTGGCTAGCAGTGGCACTTACCGAGCGTGATCTTTAGCCATCTAATGGCGTTAAAGACCGTAGATACGGAAACTTGGATCCCGTTCTCTCTTAGCCGTTGCTGCAGCTGCATTAAAGCGTCCTCGAAATGCCGTTCGGCGGCATCGTCGACGCGCTGCAGAACATCGGGAGTCAGTTTCTGCCCGTTGTTTCCACCACATTCGCGCTGAGTATTAGTATCTTCTCGCCTATAGGCAATGATAATGTTTCTTGTCTTGCTCTCCTCGACATCGGTGACTTCAGCAGCGTCGTAAGTTGTTTTACCGTCGAGGAACACAAGCTGGGTAGGGATCTTTTTCTGTACCGATTACGTTCGCTTGTTCCGTCGCTGCCTCGGAGATGCGTCCTCTCGTCGTTCATCACCAATTTTGGTGGTTTCGTGAAGCGCAAGCTACTAAAGTTAGACTGACTTTGTTGGAGTCATAACAAACTACACTGTCGTGCAGTTTCGCCAAAACACTCGCATAAAATATGTGAATGCCTAGAGAGAAACATTCGAAAATTGGGTCACCGCCTTCGAACGAGCGGAACGACACTCATGATAATAGAAGGACTTGGACAATCGCCCGCTGCTTGCACAGTTCGGGTTGCATTAGAGTGAATGCAGTGTGGCCTGAGCATAGTCCAATCGCCTTAATCACCACTATTCGCTAACAAATTGAAGAACTTATGCTTGAACCAAATTGTGTCCAGTTTGATCTACAAAACTACCAGTTTAACGTGGAAATGGTATACATAGCATGACGTGTACGTGGATAAACACAAGAGAATGCTGAAACTGCGCAAACAGTCAGAGCCAATAAGCGTAACACTTTGTCCGCTTTAGTCACTTCAGCAACGCAGAACCAAGACAAATCTCGCGCTATGTTAGTTTTCCAATTGTTCTCCTCATTCGCTGCCGCAATACGTACAAGAAATAAACGAAAGTACAGACGTAAAGCAAATGTACGTGAATAAAAAGCAAGAGGGTATTCAGGACCAAGATAATCTAACCGATTGCCGCAATTGCCTTGTGTGCAAAAGGCTGGTGAACTATACATGATCAACAACGCAAACAAAGGAATAAGCGGATACATACGATGGAGGGAAACGACTAGCGTTAGCGTCAGAGCAAAACTGCTATCCGCACACAGAAGCAACGATCGTAAACATTCAGTGGTTTAACGAAATGGAAGGTTAAAACATGCGTCAGTGAATGGGTACAACAAAACGAATTCTGTGGTTATAAGCGTTTATATAAGTATACCTGATATTTTATCGCCGCCCTAACAAAAGTGGATCCCAGGTTGTAGATGAATCGATGGAACAATTTGATTCCGTTACACATCATCAATGCACTGAGCGCGCACAGCACACAGGCATGCAGTATGAGGTAAAAGGAAGAAGAAGAAGCTTGAGCAGCACCCTGCTACGCAGTACCGATGCTTTGCTGCCCATAAGCAACAACAACGCGCGTGGGATAAGGACATTGCGAGGGTCGTCCGGTCCCTAAGCAAGCTTGAACCCGCACCCTCAGATTACAAGTTAGGCTCGTGATCCTTAAGGCTACGGATCGGCAGTATCAAGTAAATGGTTTGCCGTGAGTGGCACTGACTCTCACAAAGATCCCAATGCCTGTGCATGGGTGACAACATCACTGAGGTCCATTCATTTTGCTGGGTATTCAACCTGACGAACTAACCGTTGAAGGAATGGACCCACGTAGCCTGATCCGATAGAATGTTGGGGCATACTGTTCGGTGCTAAATGCGCAAATTTAACGCATTTGTATGGATTCAGGGCAGTTCTATTTTCGTTCACGAATGAAATGCAGCTCGAGATGCGAGAACGCTTAGTTTTCCCCGTTTTGTACCACATCTTTCATACCTTTGTTTACTAGCAGGACTATTGCCCTATTGAGACAGATCCACTCCAGTTTGGACTCACCTCACCATTCTCCCTATCGGAGTGGGCAGAAGCAGTTCGGGGGCGATCCAACATTAACCGTAAGGTTGCGGACGCAACCACAGTAGCTCGTTGATTTTTTTGGCTTCTTGATCCAACAGCCTGATATGATGGTTAATTGAGAATCGATCTATCCGAGGACGTTACCCATTTATGCTGTAAAGTCCTTGATTCATTTGAGATCCCATTATCTGTATGTCACATTTTCTTTTGTTATACCTCGCTTCTTGGCATACATCATAGCCTTTCATTACAAAACCCCCGGCCAAGTTCTCCGAATTAAACTTACTACTCGCCATCGCATCACCATTAGATGATAGGGGGCGCTCCGGACCGCCATACTAACCTGTTACTCAGCCGGATCAGAAACCGGTCAAGAACATTATCGCGTCCAGTTGAGAACCTTTTGAAGCATTCCCAACTGATCCTGCGACCGAAGTTAATCTATTAGTATGCCTTGCAGCTTGATACAGCTTCAGCCTTAATGAACAACACTACCAGAACAAAGCTAGGATGTTTCGCAACCTTCTGTGAGCGCACAACGGACATCGGAAGATATCACAACAGTGAGAATGAGGGCGGTGACCGCTTCTTAATGAACTTCTCAGAGCGCTGTCAACGTACAACGTTAGTTCCAGATAAGTACCAGACAATTCAATGGAAGGGCAACATTGAACTCTGCTGTAAGAAAACGACACATAAAATTATAGGCCGTAATGTGTTCACAAGACCAAACGTTCCCACTGGATTCGGTGAGGTAGTGTTGGATGCGTCTGCTGGCAAACGTAACATCCCATGGCGTGGTCCAAATCTCCGCTATCTCAGCTGGTGAACCTAAATGATAATGGAATGCTGGTAGGAGCAGCAGCTGACTTACATCAACTACAGGTGTAGCTTCAACAGTCACGTCGGTCGAGGTCAACATCATCAGAACAACCGTTGCTGGTGGAGCCAGTCGCAAAAATGCTTTCGGAAGCATCGCAATGTCTCGGGTTAGATTTTCAGCCATATTCAATGGTGCTTGAGGCAATATAAGATAACACCGGCTGTGCAGAACGGTGTTGCAGGCAGTTATCTGTTTCGCCTTCGGCTATGGTCCCCGAACGCAACTTGCAGTCCAAATTGAGAATGCAAGCCGAGAGCCCATTTAAAACAAACCAGCTAGTGGCAACCACTAGTTGTGGCATGCGCAATCCGCGACTGGGATATAGTCAGCCCCGTATTCCGACCTCTATGTGCAGTTCAGATGGTAATAACCCTGCTTTATCGGGACTGACTTCTCCCTGGTTTAATCGAAGGTAATTGAGCGATTGTTACTGGCTAATAAGGAAACACGTTGCTGCATAACGGCAGGATAATGTCAATAAAAGAAACTTTCCTTCGATATGGAAGCAAATGTTGGTAACTCAGGTTGTTCAGTTTGTGGTTTGAGTGTTCGCTGAACTCAGCAGTTTGGCAATACCCGGTTTAGATGGTTCGCTATACCGGGTATTGCAAAACAACAGGTATTCAAGAAACTTCAACAGAAAAGAGCCTAAAGAAAAGAGTGCCTCAACAATAGCGGGAAAATGTAGATAAATGGGTAGCGCTTCCTTACGACAAGTATGTGTCTGAACTAACGTCAAGATTACTTCAACCCCATGGAAGCTTGGTAGCCCACAAATCAACTGGTACTTTGGAAACGTTGCTTCAGAGACCGAAGGACAATGTCAAACAAGGCAGTCAGAATGATGTCATCCACAAAAGTAACTGCAAAGAGTGTGACAAACACTACATTGGGCAAACTGGAAGGAAACTTTCAACACGGATCAACGAACACACAGAATGGCCATACGGAGACACGACCCCCCATTCACTGCTTTCCATGCACGAGGACCAAGAAGGCCATCACTTCAACTTAGAGAACGTAAAGATCCTAACCCGTGGAAATTAGAGGCAACCTAGAGAGTTCTTGGAAACATGGTATTCTACAGACAATTCAATAAACCAACGCGTTGATGTTACATATGCAGCGCTACGGATGAAAGATCATCGAATTAGTGGACTAAATCTAACGGAACAGAACGCCGGAGGAGTGCGTCAAACGATGACGACAACCGAAGAGGCACGCGCGCGTACGCTAAGAGGAAAGAATCAGAGATCGATTTCGGTGGTCGTGTGCCCGTCGAACGACCCAAACTCAGACTGACGGCTAGAAGATTGATCACTCACACTCACTGAGGCTTCGTACCGCGCCTCTCTGCTGCATGAACGCGCACTGACGAAGTCACCTCGGGGAGTGACGAAACGTTTGCAGCCAAACTGCCGAGCTCAGCGAACACTCAGACCACCAAACTTTCCTTTCGTAGGGTCGCGCGTGGGCTACGGATATTGTCAGGGTCGTTCGGTCCCTAGGCAAGCTCGAACCCGCGCCCTCGGATCACAAGTAAGGCTTCTGATCCTTTAGGCCACGGGCCATCTATAACGTGTAATATCTATTAATATATAATTGCCCATAGAGCATTTGTGAGCTAAATCACAAAATATACTGTCGCAGCTAGAAATGGCAGAACATCAGCAGTTAAGTCTAATTGGTTACCGCCGGTTGATATTCTAGATGTATTTGATCATTCAGTGCGGTCATCCTGGCGTCGATTCTATAATCCCGCCGAACAATCAAGCGGCCCGCCAGATCTGCGCTCCCAAAGTCATTTAGGGCAATGAGTTCAGAGGGATAGTTTTGGTCCGGCGACTTGAGTTTGCAATCTCCAGTGGGAAGGCACTCGGTAGCGACAGCGATCACCACACTCCCATAGCGGCGCGTCTGTGGTAGAACAGGAACGAACAAAAAGAGTAACGTGAGTCAAGTAAGGAGATAATGTCTCATTGTTGTTCCGCATAAAATAATCGAAAATTGGGTAAGAAAAGGAGAAATTAAAAGTTAAACACACCAGGGATCCTTTCAGCTCTGGGATTTCCATGTACGTTGGTCGATGGGTTGAGAAGCGCCAGTTAAACTGACTCATTCCGATGGCCAAATCCGTGATTGCTTCTCCCCCGAGCCCAATCTCCAACTGGATCAACGCGCCACCTGGACTGCTTTCCGTGTCCGTAGAAATGATCTAAAGTTGGACATGAAATCACTGATTGGCCACATGCAATAGAGTTTAAACATCCCAGTATTTGGCTGTGTTTGATAAAGTCCCTCAATAACCGAGCATGGCATCCAAAGTGTGGGCGCTTTGAAGACTCGACCAAACCGCATCGCTACTCACCTCAACACCCTTCTCTTTCCCAGGAACCGAACGATAGCCCGTCAACGGGCTGCACTTTGGTGGGGAGGTACTCGAGAAGCAGAAGCAGGAATAGCAGCCCAGTTCGTAATCGATGCTGAGGCCAAAAGTGCCAGGTTTGCACTCGTCACACCGCGTGCCCTTGCAAGAGAAAGTGGGGGTAGGTTAGGCTCTGGTTTCTTCAAGTGGATGGAGGCGAACTCTCGTCGAAATATGCATTTCATTGCAAAACCAATAAGATAATCATCATCAAAGGGCATGGCATCCTGGAAAAGTATACAGTCAAAGCAAGCACAGTTCGAACCCGAAGTGGATGCCGACTACTGACTCGTCCCATGTCTTCGGCAGGGATCATCTCAAATTCGCACTTGGCTGCCTACGACTCTGTTCATCAGGATTGACATAGGCGATACAGGCCGTTTCATTTAATTTGAATTTACACACTGGTGCCACTGCCCAAGGGCGGCGACAAAATAAGTTTCACCCAACTCCAACAAACAAACTTTCACAAATCTTCTTTCCTTCAAGTATCTTCAAGTATTCTAGGTCGTATGGACGCATTTTCCACAGTGAATGAGTTCTCAAATGAAATCAGATATTCCCATTTTACACCTAGAATAATTTGGTCTTACTATTTGTGGTGGGAAAAATGCTTTCTATAAAACCTTATTTTTAAACTGTCCAAGCACATGAAGCGTATCTGCGTTGCTCCTCTTACGCACTGACAAATCGGGCACACTGGGAGATGAGATAATGGTAAGCAATCGATGGAATCAATATTCAGCTTCACAAGCGTCCGTGGTTAAAAACCAGGGTTGGGCTCACTGTTTCTGAATAGCAGTAAGGGTTACGGAGTCATTATTCAATATTTACATCCCATCGGAAATACACGTCTACTGCCTTAAGTCAATGCATGTATCTACGCGAATTTTGCAATGGTATCATCGTGCATCGTTCGAAAGGATCAGCGAAAGTTAACCCATGTACATTTTGCCCGTAACCTTTTCTTACTGCTTTGTCGATGTAGTTTTTGAACATTTTTCGTCTTCGCGGTGGGCATTTACTTTCGTACATTTTACGCCGGTATTCTTAGATTGCCACAAGAGGAGAATTATTCGATCGAATTCAAAGCGCGAGAATCTAATGAACCAAAGTTAATCTTGCACTGAGGCTAATCAGTTTGGATGCTGACTGTAATGTCTACTTGAGGAGCACTTGTGCACACATACTTGGTCGTTGAAAGAAAGATTTTCAATGCCAAGTCACAAGCATAAACACGTGCAGTTGCTAAAGGAAACCTAAACAACCGGACATCGTTACCAAGGAATTGCAAAGAACCAGTGACACTCTGACAGCGAATAGGTATCCAGATAAATGCATCGGGAAACATGTGAAAGAACTCAAGATAAAACCACCGTGGAAAAGTGTACCCAAGAGAGAACTAATTGTGCATCTCCTTTTCAAAGGCAAGAGTGCAGCTGCTGCTCTGTCCAAACGCCTGGAAAACGCCACTGAAAAGACTTATTTCGCGGCTCATCTACGCAAAGTATAATACAACAACCCTTTATTCGCGAAACCTTTAAAAGTCAGACTGCCTCTGTTGGCTCGATCGATGCTTGTTTACCAGTATTCGTGCTCTTGTGGCGCCTATTTCATAGGATTCACGAACACATTCCGAAGTGGTTTTATAGAGGCGAAGTGTAGTCTTCTAACAGTTCCATTATGTCGCGCCCCTTAGAGTGTGATCACGCAGAACCGGAAACGACTTCAGTTTCAAGTACACTATTCCTGAGAGTTTCCCTTGCGGATTCCGGAAGCATCACCTACCTATTGCGGAAGCTATCTATGTCCGCCACTTCAAGCTGGAGTTGTGCGTACGAAAACAGTTTGTAGGCCCTTTACTTCTACCGTGGCCTATAACTTCCGTTGTATATTCCTTTGGTTTGTGTCCCTGTTAATCTTTGTGTAAGTCATTCACCCCTGTACATAATCTGTCATCTCCAGTGACCGCGTGCTTTATGGATTCGTTCCCATTCGGACCAATACGCAGCTCCATCCTAGCACATATAGCACCTGATCGTCCTCATGCAACTTTTGAGTCTGATAAGAATTATCGAAAAGGGGTCCTTACTCAGAATCGGCCTCCCTTGATTCATTAGATTAAATAAAGTTTTTCGAAAATAAGGTAAGCTACTTGGCGCTCGGGTAGGGCGTCGAGATGTTGTCATATTCACTGAGTTGGACAATTCGCTGGCCGACGTTTCATCATCATTCCAAGTGACTTCTTCCTTGAGTGGTAACTTCGCAAGTGGACAAAAAGCTTCGGGCAAATCCGAATATCGTGACCCATTTTGGCGAAGACCACCGCACTGCCTATCGAGTTTTATACACCTTAGAAACAGGGACCAGCACACCGGCTGGAATCCCACCTGTTGTGCTCCATCCGCCCTGCAATGGTATGATCCGTCGTATTCAAAACATTGACAGCCATGAAGTTCACTGCCATTATTAGGCAGCATAGACGAATGTAATCGTTGCATGAAGCCAGAACTAACGGATGCTCAGCAGGAGCACCAACAATCAAAAGTTGTTCCTGTGTCTGCCATTTATGCACGCATGTAACTATGATTCCATTGAGCTGGATTACTGACAAAATATCAGCCCAATCCAGTATGGACAACACACAAATTCAGAATCACAACTCCAGAACAAAAAGCGAGAGCTTGCAGAGCTATGGACATAGCTTCCAGTGACAGGAAGTCATGATCTTGAATGCTAGCCACTGTCAACTGCACTGTTAGGAGCCTGCGTGGCAGAGAAATGTAGGTCGTGCTACAACCCAGTTAGCTTGCAAATTATGTAGCTGAACCGCCGTCCTCCATGGCTCAGTGGTTGAAGCTGCTGGCTGGTATTCGTCAGCCTGTAGCGGTCATGGGTCCGACCCCCAGTAGGGGATCGAAGGATGTGCACTACTGACAAGTCACAATAGGGATAAAGACGTGTCAGGTGCTTTTCCGGCTTAGGTTGTGCTATATGACTTCTAAGCTGCTAGGAAGAATAAAATAAAATTATAACTACAATCCCCCTACTCGTAAGTAACCTTAAATAGTCGAACGCAAACGTCTGCCGTGAATTCCTTGGGTACACGGTAGGATTAATTATTTTTACAGTACTTTATCATTGCGTTGTGCTTGTTTATCTCTTGCCGCTGTTTGTCGGGCGATGCAGGTGACTGGTTTGTGAATAAAAGCGCGTGTAAGTATCCGGACTATGCGTCGACCATGCGTACACCTTGCGGTCGTGTCGTTTTACGCATCATGTTCATATGTACAACACTGGCGACGGATTGGTCAGACCCACAATGGCCTCCACCGGAAAAATGGAAGAGTACACGAAGGGAACCGCTTTTTGGAGCCATTCAATTGAGGGTGTAAATTATGTTGCTCGGTCAATGTCATCATCAATAACAACCTACTGAGTATTTGTGGAGCGCAAACATACGAAGTAATTCGCAGCCTGTGACTCCAGATTTACCATACTGGTCTACAATCGCTCGGCCCCAGACCATCAGTGATTGTATATCGGTATAAGTTCGATTCTCGCGTTCAGGGCAAGAGAAAGATTTTTCTTTCGTTCGCTGTCTAGCTTCAAATGTGGACGGAATACTGTGATTTCGGCAAATATTGCAACGACATGAGCCGAGATCGTCTTGTTGTTGAGGCGCAAAACGTTCCTATTCAGAGTTGCCTGTTGACAGAGAATGCATTGATGCTGGAAAGTGCTCATGATGTAGCGACGGCCATGGATACTACCGAAACTAACGGCCAACTTTTTCAACATGTGCCGTTGGATTCAAACCTATGTGCTAAAGAGTTCCCGGTCGAAATCAACGGAGTTGATGAAAATACCACGCGCTCGTTCACCTGCTATCGCTGCGGCTCGTGGAATAGTCATTCCAGAGGATGCAATCATGCTCAGACAGTGTGTAACAGATGCCAAAATGTGGGCATTTAGCCCATGCGTGCCTATCCAGTGCAAACAAAATTCCTTGGTCGTAGACAACCAACTTACTGCATTTGAACACAGGGAAGATATCTACACAAAGCTACCTCAAGCGCTCAACTGCCATTTTGTATACGGCTTTGTCTGAACCAGATTACAGTTAAGATCGGCGTTGACACGGCTAGTGCAGTAACGTTGTGCAACAAACGAACTTGGTCACAACGATTGGCCCCGACGAACCACATCAAACTGTATCGGACGCCCCTGCGATTGCATACATACATGGGTAGTGAAGTGAGACTGCTGGGGTGCAGAATGTTAAGGTATCAACTTATAAAGAGTTTACAACCCGGGGAACCAGATATCTCGCACATGGAGATGGTCCAAACCTAATAGGCCGAGACTGGATAAATCAGCTTCCGGTTTTATAGATAAACAAATTTTTCTTACAGTCGGAAATACCAACGGTGCTCCAGCAATAAGCACAAGTTTATGAGACACCAGATGAAGGAAAGTGGACAAGTTAACAGTTACACACCACCTGGGAAGCGAGCACGATTCAGCAAGGCTCAGTCGCTGCCGTACATGATACGATTGAGGATAAAAGATGCAGTTGATCGACTAATCAGTGTTATAGAGAACCAGCACAGGTTTCAGACTCGGTTTCACCATTTCCTCCAGTACTCAAATGTACTTGTAGTGGTTATTAAGATGTCACATTTTATCTTTCCTATCACCGATTTTATCATGATACGGTTTGTACAGCTTGTTTGAATTAACGAGTACAATAGACTTCTTTGTTGCCCGCGCTCCGTCGTGCTGATTTTTGGCTGTGGTGTTTCGGCGTGTGTACGGTGCCGTTCAGCCTGCTTGCGAATCGGATATTAGACCCGGAATTACTATCGAACGTCTGTCTCCATCATGCTCGACGGGTGCCACAGGTATAGCGCAATCAACGATTCGAAGTCAACTGTGATTAGACTGCGCTGACTCTTTCCGAAAACTTTTGCGTTTACTAAAGGACTGAAACCTTCCTAGTATCCTTCCGACCATTACAATCTAGCCACGTATGTGGCGACCACAAGAATATCGTCTACTCCAATATTCCTGCTGGAAATTGAGAATGTTTACGTTCAGCT